GTGGCCTCAATACGAGACGCTGCCCATGGTGCTCATGTACTCACAAGACCCTCAACAGCCTTGCCACCCCCAAGCATGGGCACCCATTCAGCAGAGAAGGACATGGCCAGGTGCAGACTGGTTCCCCTCATGGCACTGCTGGCCCCATGTGGAGCACAAAGGGGCACAAGGCATGGCAGGTTGCACAGGACACCTACCCTTGTCCAGAAGAGCCTTCTCCTGATCCGCTTTCCTCCTGTCCACCTTCCCTTTGGCTGCAAGAGGAGTAAGAGATATTTGTCAGATGGGACAAAGCCTGCAGTAGCAGATCAGTCCGGCAGGACTCCTCCCTGCATCCAGAAGGCAGGATGCTGAGATCTCCTGAGCGGACACCCCCACACTGGGCTCTTGATGGGCACCTGGTGTGTTCTGTTGCAAGGGACAGGGCATGGGGACAAGCTCTGGAGACATTTCAGGGCTGGCCATACTGGGACAGGCTCCCCTCACCCCTGGTGTGGCAGATGGTGCCAAGCAGACACCCAGAGGCCTCCAACCTGGGCACTGCCTTGCTCGCATGTGGTGTCCCCACTCCCTCCACCGCTAGTCAGCCTGGGTTCTCATGGCCCAAGCCCTGCAACCTGGGCCAGGGCTGCACCTGCCCCTGCAGCTCCCCATGATCTTGGGGCCAAAGAGCAGCCCAGCACCCTTCCTTCCCCTTACCTTGGTGAACAAAAAACGCTGCAGCTGCAAGGGCCAGGAGGACCAACACAAACAGCACCCAGAAGGCAGGTAGCCAGGGCGATGTACGAGGGAAGACATCTCCTGGTAGTGCCGAGAGAAAATGTGGAAATCATTCAGGTTGCAGCAATACCCTCCCCAAAACCCTCCAGCTTCCAGTAACCAGCAGCCCTGACTCCCCATATCGCCCATCACATCCTGCTGGCATGTGGCATCCTGCCTGCTGCAGCACTTTGTTTTTTCAAAGGAGAACAGGGGAAAATGTTGTCTTCAATTTCCAGCTTTCCAAAAACTATTCTTTTTGAAACATTTCCTCAAGTTAGACCCCACAGTAAGAGGATTTGGATATGCACAATGAGAGAAAGTGAGCATGCTGATATCAGAGCCCTTTGGAGACCGTGTCAATCAGGGAAGAACCCTCAAGAAGCCACTTTTTGGTGTCCCCGCATTCCCTTCTCTGCAGGAGCTGAGGTTTATTACTTCCTTGACTTTGGCTGTGTTTCTTCATGTTGGGACTCACCTTCAAGCTCAATGGCCGAATTCCGCTCCATGCCCGTCAGGGTGTTTTGCACAGTGCACCGTATCTCACCAACATCCTTTCCTGCAGGGACTGTGATGCGGCTCTCAAGAGTGTAGAGCTGCTGCTCATTTTGTGTGATTGTGGTCACTGGTTTCATTTCCAGAGATCGCCCATCCTGTGTGGCCCAGTGGACCTTCGGCTTGGGGAACCACCCCATGGATTTGCAGGACAGCCCTAGCCCTGACCCCTCAGGCCCCATCACAGAAATCTTCACAGGTGCAGTAGCTGCAGGAAAAGGCAAGCAGATTCAGATAATGCAGTGGCTGGATAGAGGACACCCCTACCTTGTAGTTTCTCTCCTTCCTTGGTCATTGCTGGAGTATCCTCTAGGCAATGGAGCAGGATTGGTGATGGAGTTTCCCCTCCTGGCCAGTTGCCTCCCCCAGTCCAGACCACCTTTTTCCTTTACACTTAATCATATATTGAGTCTTGCAACCCTTCTGGGGTTCACTGAAAACTCTGAGTCATGCAACTCATTCATTCCTATGGAGGCCTGAATCCCCTATCCATAGCCTGTCTTTCTGGGCTTATGTAGGCAACGCGTGCAGTTCAGGAAGAGCCTGGAGTGCCCACAAGAGCATCTCACCTTGTATCTGGAGCTCCACGTAGGCCTCGTGGTTTCCTTCTGCACTTTGCACAAAGCACTGATATTGTCCAGCTTCCTTCATCCTCAAGCTCTTCAGCTTCAGGGACAGGTTTCCCCTGATGAACTCATGGGGGAACAACTCCGTCCGGTCCTTATAGCCAATCCCTGGCAGCTCCTCGTTTTCTCTGTCCGTGTAGCTGCGAATAATTATATTTTCAGTTTCAAATTTCCTCCAGAGCAGCACCATGTTTTGTAGGCGGACAGGAGGTGAGAGTTGGCAGGGCAAGATGATGTCCTGTCCAAACACCCCCACAACTGGTTCCTGGGAACCGGAGAGGGAGACTCCACCTGGAAAAAACAACAGGATTAATGAGCGAGACAGAAACCCGACTCGGGTGAACTGAAACAACCTGGCATCCCTGGAAGACCATGCACCCTCATTACACAAGGTATCTAAGCAAGCATCATTTGAAGGGCCTTACTGCAGCTGGAGCATATGGCTGAGAAGAGGACCATCCAAAGCCATCGATGCATCATCATTAAGGCAGGGACCTGCAGAGAGAAAGAAGGGATGGGAGATGCTCTGGGGACATACAACAGGGTTGAGGCACTCAGCCAAAATAAGATGACAACATCTTACAAAGAGGGGTGCGATCCCAACACCTGCACCATTCTGCCTCTCTGGATGGGCAGTAAACACCCTCCCAGACACATTAGAGATGCAGCAGCTGGAAAACATCTCCTGGCTGCAAGAGGCAATGTGGGGCTGAGCTGAGGGCTTCTGTCAGTGCTTAATCACAGCTCTTGGAAGAACAGGAGGACAGAGAGATCTCCCATCATTAGTTCTGAAGATGGGGAAAGCATTTTGGGGTTAGCTGTGACGGCTTCACTTTCTTGGCCTTTGCTCTGTGTGGTCTTAAAGTATTTGGGTTCCTGGCCCAGTCATAGAATCATAGAATCATTATGGTTGGAAAAGACCTTCAAGATTATTGAGTCCAACCATAAACCCATTACCACCACCCTGCTAATCTATGTCCCTAAGTGCTTATCTACACGTTTCTTCAAC